ACTTCGGGGACATCATCATACTAACGCACATGGTGACCGTAAATATCCTAATAGAAGATCGAACACATAATGTTATTACCCAATTCATTAAGTATGTCGACCCGGCTTGGATCTCACCCAAAGAATCAAAGCAACAACAATTATGTGCACATGCCTATTTAATATCTTACGGGTTAAGAGCACGCAATAATTAACTGAGGCCTAGTTCGTTTACGACGATTAGTATAAAACGAACATCCCTCTCTGGGATCCTGTTCAATACATAAATGTACTAGTGCAACTAATCGGTCAAGACAAATCGTACGGTTGACACTACAACCGTTCCGATGGGTTGTTCAATTCCATCTAGGTTGTGAACCAACGATTCTTATTTCGCAAATAACTGATATAGTGATCTTCGGTACGCCCGATGACGACCCACTTATCTACATGAAAAACAATAGAACGTGGAACTTATTTAACCAAACATAATTCTCATTCATCAAGGAATAACAAGTGTAATATCCACTAAAGCAAAGCTTAAGTATATAACACCAAAACCTCTTCCTCTACCATTACTTCTGCCAGATCTTCCTCCATTTCTACCATAAGCAGACATATTATCTGATCCTCTTCCTCTATTCCCAGTGAAGTTTCTCTTAGGATTTCTTTGTGCTGAGAAGTTGGCTGTAGGCACAGATCCCTCAACACTGACTTGGCTTTGATCAAATCTATCAAGCCTTGCTTCAAAGGTGAGTAGGAGTGAAGTAGCTTCTGCTATTGACATGGAATCTGTCCTAGAGGTTATGGTGACCACAATGGCGTTGTATTCTGGGCCAAGACCTGCCATGATGTGAAGAAGATGATCCTCCAGAGATATTTTGTATCCTGCTCCAGCAAGTGCATCACAAATGCTCTTAAGTTTGTTGAGATAGTCTCTCATGGGCTGGTTTCCTTTCTTGTTGGTTTGGAGTTGCTCCTTCAGTTGCAAGATCTTAGCTTTTGACTGGCTTGAGATGCTCTCCTCCAGAGTGGTACAAATGTCATGAGCAGAGTTGAGTCCTAGCACTGTGATCAAGATGCCTTCAGAGAGAGATGAGAGTAACCATGATACAAGGATCTGATCTTGCTTGATCCAGTTGTTGTATTGTGGATCTGGACTTCCATCTTGGTTGTAGGGATTGCTTGGTGCTTTTTCTTGGCCAGTAAGATATCCCTCCAAACCGTATCCTTTCACAGCTGCAAGAATTTGATATCTCCAAATGATATAGTTGCTCTCATTCAGCTTTACAGTGATAAGTTGACTCAAGGGTTGCAGAATTTTGATGAGGGTTTGATGTGAGATCTGAGGTAATACTCATGATGGGACGGCTAATAGGTTATGGAGGAGATAGGTAGTGGTTTTGTTTGAAGATCAGGCCCCAGGGTTTAAACCCGGGGCTCTGATACCATAATGAAAAAGCTTAAACAACAGGAAAGAGATGAACCTCCATTTTCATTAGTCATTTTCTGATTTTTCTCACAACTACAATATGGCATTTTCAGCCTTTAAATACAACTCAAAAGAATAATCTAGAACTACTGAAAACTAGGGAGAAATCATAAGCAAATTCTATCCTCTCTCAGCTTTGTCTTTTGTGTGTGATGTCATGGTGATGTCACAGGTGAAATCAGTTTCACCTTGAGGGAATCCCACATGCATTCTGTCCTTTTTCCTTTGCATGGGAATGACATGTTGTCCTACAACAAACCAACTCCTTGTTTGTTTCTGTGGGGGATCCTTTTGCAGCTCATCAAGTCCTTCACCAAAGCCATGCAGATCATTAGAACTATAATTAAGATTAGCTTCTCTAATAGTAGGTTAAACCGAAACACTCATATACCAATGTATTTACTATGAATATGAATATTGATATGTTTACCATTGTGTTTTTAAATACATAGAATTCGTATCACCCTCAAACTTAAGAAATAAAAAATATTTCATGTATTTATAATTTAAGTGCAACATCTATAATTTATTAAAAAAAATAAGTTTTTTTGGTTAAAAAATTAATTTAAATTTTACTTTTTGTATCAAACATTGCATAACATTTTTGTTGAGAGAGCGTATAACATTTTTTTAAGAAAAAATAATAAAGTTAAAATATGTGACTACACATAAAAAAGTAAAAAACCAACATTCATAAATGTAACAATCGAACTAAATACTCGGTTTTATAAATCACTAAATGATTTACAATTAAGGGAGTGAAAGTTTAAATCATTATAAATACTTTCAAAAGCTTATCTAGAAATGTAAAGTATAACTATTATTAGTATATTTTTAATATAAAATAATATTATTAATTTAAATTAAAATAGCATAGAAAATACATTTCAGTTACTAATAATTTATGTATAATTTTTGTATTTTTCTATACATATTTATATATTTTTTGTATATATATATATACCTTTTTAAAAAAAGATGAGGGTGGCTCGTGGACTTCTTTGGCTTCGTCACTGATTCTATTATTGTGGACCATGCATATAATTAGTTGGACCATATAAAATTGTCACAATAGACATGTTTTCAGTGACGATATTTGTGCTATCACTATTTTTTTCATCACTAAAGGTGTTATTTCTTGTAGTGTATCTAATAATAAAGTGTCCAATTTGTGAAATTTGACTTGGGCAGTAAGTTAGGTTAGAACATGTGGAATATTAGTAGGATTAGGATCATAGGTCTCCTCTTATATATACGCCATGCCCCTCTCTCCTCACTCATACTAAAATAAAGTTCTCAACATCAAGGACTTTATATAAAGACGAGAGACGCGAGAGAGAGAGAAACTATTCATAGACAAAGACGGTTACGGTTCATATGCAAAGACGAACCCATCATTCAAGATTACAAGAAAACAAGGAAGGACTATAAGATGAATTCATGTAAGTTCTATGTGCAATTTAATTTATACAAAGATTCATATTCTATGCATTGATAGAATTACATGCTTAGAGTTTATTCAATTCCGCTTAATAGTTATGAGTATGCCTGTTAAATTTCCTACATAAATAAGCTCTAATTTTGTAAATTCACTCAAGATTATATTGTCAATAAAGTGAGATATATTTCCATATATGTTGACAATTGTAAGCATAAAGTAAAAAAATACACCGCATATCACGTGCAAAATGCAAAATAAACGAGTAGGCCTCTGTTGCAAGAGGTTCATGCACTAGCATACAAAACCAAATTGGAAGATTTTTTTATTTTATTTCTTTTCACTCTACTTAATATAAAGCTCGACATGAATTAGATTTGGCAAACTGGGAAAAAATAATAATAGGTTCGAACTATATTTGTCATCGAATTGAATTATATCGAACAGAATGGTTGATAAACAAAATGAAAAATTTTAGATATCGATCGATTTCAATTTTTATATAGAGGAGGGAAAACTCACTAGTTGCTTTGTAGACACTTCAAGCAAATTGGACAAAATAAAGAATGAATCACAGTAGAAAATGATTTAGGAAGATAAAGAAAATTATGTGAGAATGGTTATCAATTAAAAAAAAAAAAAAAAAAGAATGCTTAGTAACTATAAGATCTAATACATCGATCAATGAAGAAAAAATCAAGATAACAAAATAATAAAAGGTATAATGGATATTTTTCTCACCCTGCGCAGCGCCGCGACCACGTCCAGATCACCCTCCTCCTCATCGTTTCTCTCAAATGGGCCCATGCCCACCGGCTACGCGGATGCATCTAGCAACAAAAACTGAGTGGTTTTAATATCATTCCTTATTATAACTATTGAACTGTATTTTTTTCGTCTAGCTGAACACGAAAGAAAACCTCCGTAGCACGAACTCATCGAACGACTAGTAATAAGACCACTCAGTTCCACATGCCAGATGGCTCATGAATTATAGCATTTGCAACCATATGGGTTATCCTAAGAAGCTCATTGTGACTCCAGATGCACGTACATGGACGCCGTCAACGTCGCATTCATGGTCGGAGGTGGTGATGCTTAGAGCATCATTCGCCACCTTTTAGGCCATATAATAATCTGGACAAATTGGAACATCATTATTCTATGTGGAGTCGGAAAAAGCGTGGTTTGAAGGTGAAGACGAACTTCCCATCGCCTCTCGATGAAGTTGTTCCCTCTTATTTCAACCCTCAAAACACTAACCATACCCAAATCAATAGTAACGCCAATGATCGACTCATGGGTCTTGCATTTTGCACCCAGGACCATCACGTAATCGCGCAGGCCTACTACCACTGCAGTGTGAGCAGCATCGTTAATCTTTCAACGCGACGTGATAACCGCGTTCTATCGGCGCTGCCGCTTTTGTAGTAGCATCGATGTAAACTCGGATAATCGAGATGTTACAACATTCATTTTATGTTGATTCTTTTTTTTTTTTTTTGGTATGTTATATGTATATATATAGGGGGAGGATCCAATGAGGCCACTCCTTAAAATGAGTCCACTTCTTATAATATATATTAATTAAATAATAAAATAATTATTAGTTGACTCCGGCGAAAAAATTGTTGACTTCTAACGTCGACTGTTGACTTCTGGCGAAAAATTGTTGACTTCCAGCGTTGACCGTTGACTTCCGACGAAAAAAATGTTGACTTTCGACGTTGATCGTTGACTTCCGGCGTTGACTCCAGCGTTGACCGTTGACTTCCGACGTTGACCCGTTGACCCCTAGTGCATTATATGTATGAAGTAAATATGCATCCAGTACCATGCATTCAATATGAACTAAATATGCATGGGATATGAATTGCACATGCAGTCCTTATGAACTAAATATGCACCAATAATATCAACAAAGTATGCACCTGTTATGAACTAAATATGCATATGTTATGAACTAAATATGCATCATGAATGAACTAAATGTGCAACGAAAAATATGCAATAAAATGTGCATTTTATATAGGTAATTTATGATGCATATTTAGTTAATTTATTATGAATATTTAGGTAATTTTATGATGCATATTTAGTTAATACGAAATGCATACTTGTTATATTTAAATTACATATATAATAATATTTATATAATCCACAAATCCCTAAAATCAATCACTCAGCACCCAAATTTGCAATAAGTAAATTGAGGTCGAGATTATATTGTAATTACCCAAAGATTGAGATAAAATTGCCAAACGCAAAAAGGTTAAGGTTTATTAAGCAATTAACCCATTAATTTATTATGCATATTTAGTTAATTCATGATACATATTTAGTTCTTACGAAATGCATATTTAGTTCATGAACAGTGCATACCTATTTTATTTGAGATCCAATCATAACAATTTATTTGTGTTATTAATCAATTTAAAATTAAATTAATTATATAATAAAATCATTAATTATTATATTGAATTTAATTGAATAAAATGTATATATTATTGCATATTTTCGTTGCATATTTAGTTCATTCCTGATGCATATTTAGTTAGTAAAATGTGCATATTTAGTACATAAACAGTGCATACATAGTTGATATTATTGGTGCATATTTAGTATATAAGGATGACATATATAATTCATTTCTTATGCATATTTAGTTCTTACTAAGTGCATAGTACTGTATGCGTATTTACTTCATACACAATGTCATACTATGGGTCAACGGTCAATGCTGAAAGTCAACGCCGGAAGTCAACGATTTTCGCCGGAGGTCAACAGTCAACGTCGGAAGTCAACGGCCAACGCCGAAGTCAATGGTCAAATGTCAAAATAGTATTTAACTAATTAAAATAATAAAAAAAAGAATAAAGTAATATAAATAAAGAATTGTTATAAATAAAAAGTTAAATTTTGGCCACACATCATGTACCAATCTAGGGCTAGGAATGAGTCTCACATTCACACTTTAAATATGTGGACTCATTGGATCCAATCCATATATATATATATATATATATATATATATATATATATATATATATGTGTATTAACTATTTCTATGAGTTAGTATTATTATTTAATTATGACTTGATTATGATATGATGATATTTTTCCTTTGTTTATTATAACTTATATTCAATGTATGTATGATTGATGATGTTTCATTTTATTCTAATTTTTTTTTTCTTCTAGAAACAATTCATTATTTGTATAATTCTTCAGGGATTATGATTGAAATTATAGAATTATAATTTTTTAGGATTTGCATGTTGGAAAAAAAATAATGAATTATTTGCAGACATTTTCATCGTATGTCGAATATGTTTTTAATTTACTTGGTTTATTTATTTATGTTATGTGATATCTATATATATATTTGGTAAATGTTTATTAATTTTTTATTCGGTATGTTAACATTTTTTTTTTTTTT